TGGAGATTACACGCCGGTTGACCATTGAGAAACTGACGACAATGAAAAGTCCCATCAAAAGCCAGGACAAGAGCAAGTACTGTCATTTCCATGAGGCTATAGGCAATGGCTGCTATAGCCTCAGGCGGTTACTAGACCGTCTGGCTGGTGAAGGGGCTTTGAGGTCCTATATGCTGAAGTCCAAGGATAACCCCAGAACAAATAGTGGACAGCTGTCCAAGAAGCCTGACAACCTTGCTATAAGCTCTGACACTGATGAAGAGCAAATCTTTACTATATTAGGCGATTTCACGGGAGGGGGTCCTACCATCCGGGACACCAAGGACAACACCAAAAAGCTGGAGGTCAACTCAGTGGATGAGGGTCAGACGTCGAAAGCCACCTTCCCTAAGGTCATCATCTTTGAGAAGGACCGGGGCAAGGTCAGGTGGCCTCATGATGACCCCATAGTCATCGAATGTAAGGTTGCAAATCAACGAGTGGGCCGGATCCTCATTGATACTGGGAGCTCGTCTGACCTTATCAGCTATCGGTGCTTGGCGATGCTCATGTACAAGTCTAGCAGCATGCACAAAGTCTCTCACCCCTTAGTTGGTTTTAGGGGAGGGGTAGTGCGTCCGGTGGGAAGGATTGACCTACCTATCCGGCAAGGAGAAAAGGGGGAGGGACGACACATGGTCGTCAAGTTCTTGGTGGTCGAGGAATTGGGTTGTCCAACCCTTAACGAGTCCAAGGCAGTCATTATCCCATCACTCATGTTGATCAAATTTGAGAGGGATGATGGGTCAGTGGGTTCCCTGAATGGGGATCAAAAGACGAAAAGGGAGTGTTATCTCTCAAACGTCAAGCCTACTGTGGCTGCAGCCGGCCAAGGCAAGGATCCTATTGACCTTGATGACTTCAAGGAAGCCACACTTGCTCCCAAAGCAGTCGGCGAAAAGAGAAAGGCGAACCACCTAGTGGCCGTAAAAAAAGAGAAGCAATATCAATCACTGTTTGGGGAACGGTCAGATGATCTCCGTCCCCCACCGGCTGGTGAAAATATTGACATTGTTCTAGATGACAATCGTCCGGAACGAACCGTAAATGGAACGGTTGCTTTTGCCAAGTTGGGCGCAGATTTGCGCCAACTATTGAAAGAATTCAAATACATTTTTGCCTTTGAAGTGGAAGAGATGTCAAGCGTCAACTCGGATCTTGCTGCCCACAAACTCGCCGTGGATCCAAAAAAGAAGCCGGTTCATTCGACAATGCTACTACCTGGATTGGGTAGCAAACGCTGTCCTTGTTAAAAAGCCGAATGGTACCTGGCGGATGTGTGTTGATTACAGAAATCAAAACAAGGCGTGTCCGAAGGATAGCTATCCACTTCTAAAGATCGACAGTCTGGTCGACTCTACAGCCGGTCATGCCTTGATGAGCTATATGGACGCCTATTTAGGCTTCCATCAGAGACCCTTGTGGAAAAAAGATCAAGAGAAGACGACATTTGTCACTGATCAAGGGTTATTCCGTTATACAGTGATGCCGTTTGGGCTGAAAAATGCGTCTGCTACCTTCCAACGAATGATTAATACAGTCTTCATTAATCAACTTGGGAGGAATGTGGAGGCTTACATTGATGACATGATAGTAAAATCTAAGCTATAGAAAGATCACCTTGCTGACCTCCGAGAAACATTCACCACCCTCAGGCGGCACAAGGTCATGCTTAATCCCAAGAAGTGTGTTTTTGGTGTTGAGTTTGGGAAGTTCCTCAGATTTTTTATTGATCAAAGGGGATAAAGGCCAACACGGAAAAGGTACAGGCAATAATTGACATGAAGTCACACCGCACTGTCAAGGATGTTCAAAAATTTACCGGTTGTCTGGCGGCATTGGGGAGATTCCTCAGCCGGTCAGGTGACAAGTGCCTTTACTTCTTCCAGGCTATCAAAAAGAAAACTAGATTTGAATGGGGGGAAAATACTGAGGCGGCATTCCAGAAATTGAAAGAGCACCTTGATAAGTGTCATTTATGACACATATTAGGGCATTTTTCTCCCTTAGTTTTAGGTTTATTTCGGTGTTTCTTTGTTATTTATATTCCTTTTAGTCTTGTTTTAGTTATATTTTTCTTAGTTTATGGTTTTCGGCCATAGTTGTGAATAATATGCTTTTTGCTCGGTTTCCAGCTTGATTTGCATGTTTTTCTATGTGTTCTTTCGCTCTTTTCTCTCTTGGTCTATTTGTGTACGTGCTTGACTCTTTCTTCGATGCTTATAACCTAAGAAAAGGCAAGAAAGTTCAATAGAAGAAGCTTGAAGCTAAGAAAGAAGCTAAGAAGCTTGAGACAAGAAAATTTAAAGCTCGTAGAAGGCCTTAAACCGAGTCTTATTCACTCACTACTACATATTTAATCTAATACAACGGTACAAAATTAGCTAATACAACGGCTAATTTCATACCGTTGTATTAGATATATCTAATACAACGGTTTATACTAAAATAGGTCTAATACAACGGTTTATACTAACCGTTGTATTAGATAAACTCATCCGTTGTATTAGCTCAGCTAATACAACGGATTGAGGAGTCTAATACAACGAATTGAAGAAACCGTTGTATTAGACTCTCTTGGGATTTTTTCTTGGGCCTTTATATACCCTCTTATTAACTCATTTTCATTATTTCACTCTCATTTTCATTATTTCACGCACTCTCTCTAAACCTCTCTGACTCCCCTCATTCTCTCTCTCTAGAACCCTCTAGCGCATCTCTCGCCTCTCATTCTCTATCTCCCCTCAACTCTTTCATCTACCCCCTCTGTCTCTTCTCATCAACTCTCACATTCTTTTTCGTTTTTGATCGTTTTCAGATCTTGGTTTTTTTGGGTTTTTATTTGGATTATTTCTGGGTTTTTCTGGGTTTTTTTTTTCTTTTTCTGCGTTTTTATATATTTTTTTCTTGGTTTTTTTTTCGTTTTTCATAGTTTTTAGATTTTCATTGTTCTGGGTTTTTTTTTTCGTTTTCTTGATTCTTCACTCGTTTTATTCATTTTTTTGTTGGTTTTTTCGAATAGTTGTTTTTTTTCGTTTTTCTAGGTTTTTATATTTTTTTCCTGGGTTTTTATTTGGGTTTTTTCTGGGTTTTTCTGGGTTTTTTTAACTTTTTTTTTGTTGGTTTTTTCGAATTGTTGTTTTTTTTTTTCGTTTTTCTCGGTTTTTATATTTTTTTCTGGGTTTTTATTTGGGTTTTTTTTGGGTTTTTTTTTAATCTTTTGTTGGGTTTTTATATTTTTTATTTGGGTTTTTTTTGGATATTTTTTGATTTTTTTTCCTGGGATTTTTTAGGTTTTTTTTTGGGTTTTTTGTTGATTTTTTTTCGTTTTTTGTGTTTTCAGATCTTCGTTTTAGATCTATGTTTTTGTTTTGTTGTTTCGTTTTCAGATCTATGTTTTCTAGATCTTTGTTTCGTTTTTTCCTTTTTTTTGTTTTTCGTTTTTGAGTTCCGTTCTTCTAATCACAACTTCTTCATATTGGTGGATGCTTCATTCTCCATTTCAGATCTCTCTAGAAGTGTTGGATGAAAAGCTTTGCGAGATGAAAAGTTACAAGCTAAGACTTGGACAATTTGGACTTTGACAAAATAATAATAATAATAATAATAGTAATAACAGTAATAATAATAATAATAATAATAATAATAATAATAATAATAATAAAATCATAATAATAATAATAATAATAATAATAATAATAATAATAAAAAGAAAAAGAAAGACCTAATACAACGGATTGGAGAGCAATCCGTTGTATTAAGTTCAGTTATTCTAAAAAAATAAAAAAGGAACCTAATCCAACGGATTGAGCAATCCGTTGGATTAGGTAGATACCTAATCCAACGGATTGCTTAATCCGTTGGATTAGGTCCATTTTGCCGTTTTATTAGACCTAATCCAACCCTAGCAAATGTAACGGTTGCTAGCCGTTGTATTAGGTCTAATACAACAGTTTTTAACACCTAATACAACGAAAAAATCCGTTGTATTAGGTCTAAAATGTAGTGGTGAATCTTTCAGCCATAACTTTTGATCTATGCATCAGATTGAGGCGATTTAAATTCCTTTGGAAACAAGAATTGATGAACTTTCCAACGATAGGTCGCACACCTCAAGGGGCTTCCTTGAACAAAAGTTATGGCCGTTTGAATCTGCAAGACGCTGCCGGCCACTGTGGGCGCGGCCCATGGTGCCGCGAGCGCGGCTATTTTTGCCGCGGGCGCGACCATCTGTTCTTCCCAGGCGTTGCAACTTTTTGGAGATGCCTCGGAGAAGCCTTGCCGTGGGCGCTGGTTTCTGGGTTTTGTTCGAGCTTATTTTCCGGATTTCTTTCTTTCTCTTCTTGTAACATAAATAGAGGACTTTTTAGACTTCCTAAACGGGGAGTTTTACATTTCCTCTCTCCTCTAATTAGGATTAGGGTTAGATTAGGATTTTCTCTCTCTAGTTTAGGAGTAGTTTTACAGAGAGAAAGCTTGGATTTCAATGGAGATTTGAGAGCTTGAAAAAGCAATTTTGTGGATTCTTTTCTCATCTATTTAATGAGATTTTCTAACTTTCTCTCACCTTTATTGCTTTGTTTAATTCTTGTTTTTGCTTATTTCATTGTTGATTAGAGTAGTTAATGAATTTACTTATTTGATTCTTAGTTTAATTCTAGTTTTACCTTATTTTCCATGTTTTCCTTCATCATGTTTGCTTAGATTTTATTGTAGGGAAATGGATTAAGATTATGTTGATGAATTGAGTGATTGCTTGTAATTAGTATGCAATTAATTCTTAATTATTGTGTTTGGATGATGCTTACATTGACTAGAATCTTTTTAGCTAATTGTGTTTTTTTAGTAAAACCCGACCTGGCCCGAATTTTGATCACCTCTAGATTAGTCCCTTTTCTAACCGTTGTCACAACCAAAAAAAAAAAAAAAAAAAGGTATAGGTAGAGTTAATTAAAACTTACTTCCCCAATACCTACACGAAATGTCAATGGTTTTCCTCTGTTGTAGCTGCTATCAAAGACCTTACCATTTTCCAATTTACCTACGTAATGGGCCTGTAATATTAATCAAAGCAAGAATAATCAATTAATAATTTTGTATTACAATTAGGTATGACTCCTTGTTATGTTACAAATATGTGTAAGAACGAATTTTAATGTCTAACAAGTAATTGAAATTGTTTATCATTTTTTTGAGTGTGGCCCACTCGGTTCACCAAAGCTTAGTTCCAACTATACCAGGATCCGACTCGGGTTGCACAACTTGGCTTATGGTGGCTGAGTCTTCCAATAAAAGTTTTCTACATTCGGTGAGGTTTGAACTCAAGACCTTTCTTAAGCGATATCTAGCTGTTTATCACTTTAGTCAACTCTTATAGGATTTTAAAATTGTTTATCATAAATAACAGGTTTATGATAATACGTTGTATAAATGACAGGTTTATGATAATATGGAGTATATATATGAATCATATTCATCACAATTAGCACATCACATTTTATTCAAATATAAAACATTATTGTAATTTAGTTGCATACGTAATTATGGAGTAACAATTTAATCAGTATCATTTTTTTTTTCATTAGGTAACACAAAGGGCTTATTGGGTCGGAATCTTTCACAAGTGAACTCGGGTTGAATTAACAAGCTAAGCCATTTAGTACAATGGTGATGAAAGGTTAGGAAGTCCACACGCCAAAAAGTCTAAGATTTATGTATGATATCGAAAATTTTCGATTACAGGGGTTACAGCTGTACTACTTCAAATTGCTAAGTGATTCGGAAATTTTACCCTACTTTGTCTAGTGTCTACATACAAGTATGATACAACTGTCAGTGGTACAATCAACTATTGCAACTAGGCACATAGCTGCTATTTATTTGGGATACATATAGGAGGGCTAATTCGTAAATTTACATGATTTTCGTAATTTTTTATCGTTACAGAGATATATTTAATGTACTATTATAAATGTAATTTATACTATCGGAGAATAAGTTGTTTTAGTAGTACTAATTATAACCATGATAGGTAACATCGATACAATATTTGATGACAATTTATATACAGTGATACAATATTTGGTCAACTAGAATTTAGATCTCTTAAGATATAATTGTAAGTGCCGAATGCTATTATTATTTAATGAAATCACGCCTCCTTATTACATTCAAAGAAAGAAAAACAAATTTCACAGTGCTTTCATCTTATTCATGCTATTTACTTACCATGTAGCAGTTATGCGCTAATACTTAACCCACCCAATACAGACATATTCTAGTATAGAGAGCCAATGAAGTCTAGATCTAAAGAATGATTTGATATTTCAACATTTCACATATCTAAAAACGAGAAAATCTTTTCTAATATATAATGAAATTCCGGAAACATTTCTATGTACTTTGATTTTATTTTTACTGATTTTATTATATACCTTTGTGCTACTTATTATTTCTATTCCTATCAAACTGACACAAATATCTATCCGCCATTTTGATATACCACCAAAATAATTATTATTTCTATTATATACCATCGAAATGACACAAAGGTAACCATTTTTTTTTACCATTTGTGCTTTGTGTTTTTATCATTTCTATTATGGTTATTTCACCAAATGCCACTAAATTTTTTAAAAATCCACAGAATGTCATCAAGTTTTCAGAAATTCACCAAATGCCATCGAGATTTAGTACAATATCACCAAATGTCATTTCTTTTAGTTGACCGTCAGTGTCCATTAGTTGACCCCACATTTGCTACGTGTCACCTTCTTATTGGTCCGTATTTTAAAAATAATAAAATTAAAAATAAACCAAAAAAAAATAATAAAAAAAAAAAAACAGAAAACCTTTGAAACCCCAGCCACCACCCCCTCCCTGTCGAACCCCAAAACCTTTGCCGCCGGTGACCTGCACCCTCACCGGTAGGCGCGTCGGCGCCCGCCGACCTGCCTCCCTTTCCCCTCCCCTTCCTAAACGCACAAAAACTCCATTAAAGCTCCGTTGAAGCTCACGCATGAAAGATTGAGGAACATGTAAGTTACTCATTTACACCAAATTTCATTAAACTTGTACCAAAATATTCATAGTTCACTATACAATCGATTGGAGCAAACAAAAACCCCTAATTCAATATTTTTAGGGTTTTTCACAAAAATTTGACCATTAGAGGAGAGCAAAAGGAATACCTTGAAGAAAAACATCATGGAAGGAAGGAGGAAAAGGCAGAGGAGTAGAGCAATGGTGGTGGTTTTGCTGGCAGGAAGTCAAGAGGAACGAAGGGGGTGGGGTTTCAGGGTGGTGGAGGAAGGAGGGGTGGGATTTCGAATTTTGTGTTTAAAGCTCCGGTGGGTCGCGATGGGGGAAGAGGAGGGGAAAGGGAGGGGGGCCGAAGGCTACCGGCGCTCCTGCCAGTGCAGGTCCTGGCGGCTGGGGTTCGGGGACTGGCAGCATGGCTGAAGGCTACCGGCGCTCTTGCCAGTGCAGGTCCTGGCGGCTGGGGTTCGGGGACTGGCAGCATGGCTGGTGGCTGCTGGGATGGTGGCTGGGGTTTGGAGTTTTCTGTGTTTTTTTAAATTTTTTTTAAATTATTAATTTTTTTAATTATTTTTGGTTTTTTTAATTATTTTTAAAAAACGGACCAATCGGAAGGTGACACGTGACAAGTGGTGGGGTCAACTAACAGACACTGACGGTCAACTAAAGGAAATGACATTTGGTGATATTGTACTAAACCTCAGTGACATTTAGTGAATTTGTGAAAACTTGATGGCATTTGGTTAATGTTTTAAAACTGAGTGACATTTGGTGAAATAATCGTTTCTATTACATTAATTTGATTTTATTAATTTAAACTTAAATTGTTTTAATTAGAAAAGGTATTGCCCCTCCGTTGAATTATATAAGTAAACAAGTAAGAAAATGAAATTGATTATTTCCTCATCACTACTTTTGTTCTTTTCTCCAAGATAATGCAACCAAATAAAGATAAATGTACAACTACTTTCAATTTACTATTACCAATGAAAATATAGTGACAGTGGTAAGAAAATGTGGAAAAAACATAATATACCTTGATAAGTTGGCCTTGAGCAGCTTGAGAACCAGTGCCAACAATTTGGTCACAGTAAGCAAGACCGGAAGGAGATGTAGTCAATTCACAAGAAGCTTCTGCAAATTGGGACGGCAGTAGAATACTAGCTAACGTCCCAATAGCAATCACTTGTCTTCTTTGTAGCGAATTCGATTTGTCGATTTCAGTCTGCAACAAAGCAGATTGAGGATGTGCAGCATTTACTCTGGTTGCTGGTTCATAATGTTTGTTTATGCTCGTATGATTTTTATGTAGCTGATAACAAGTGTTGGTGTTGTGTGTTTTTGTGGTGGCGAAAGCAGGGGAAAGTAATGCCATTGAGTTCATTTTTGTCAAACAAAAACCCGTCTAACAACAAACTAGACTGGAGAATGGAGATCTAAAGAGATGAAATTGTAATCTAAAAGTTACAATTGGCAAAATTATTTCTATTTTGGTAGTATTTAAAAAGGCTACGTGGCTCGTTATAGACGACTCACGACTCAATGATAATCTATGGAGTAATATGAATTAGGTATTTTGAATAGTCCTAAGCCTAAGCCATCATAATAATAGTAAGTCGATTGAAGAGTTGGTTTTTTTTTCGAAATTCTACATTATAACCCTCTTGTTTTGCGCTTCAATGTTGTGACCCATTTTTTTTAAAGTTACACATTGTAACCCTCATGTGAAATTGGTAATCATACGACCTTGCTGTAATACCGGCATTAACAAATTTCGTTATGTTGTTATAATCGCCGTTATTGGAGCTCACTCTCCACTAATTAATATTTTTGTTAACGATTTACGTGATGGAAAATATTTCATTAAAGGTTTTGGGGGCCGTTGCGGTTCTTATGAGACCAAATTGAGCTCGGATTATGCAAAAATAACATAAATAATGTCTCGTTTGCATATTAAAAGAATGTTCGATTTGCGTGCTATATTTATTTAGCCGCGAAAATTGCTCAAGTAAGGTTTAAGGTCATTTAGTTCTTTAGAATCAAATTAAGCTCAAAATCGACAAAAAATAATGTAATTGTCTCGTTTTATGTGTCAATTGCGTTATCTCTTAACAAACCAAATGAGACATTAGACATTACGTATGTTTTTTTTTTGCTAACTTCGAACTTTATTTGGAACTAATAAACAAACCTCGATACCTTACCTAAACAATTTCCACTCCTAAAAAATAAGGAAACACAAATCGAGACATCTGTTAACATGCAAAACGAGTTATTTATGTTTTTTTTTTGCGAAATCTAAGCTCAATTTGGAACCTTAAGGACCAAAATGGCCCCAAAAATCTTCACGGAACATTTTCCAACACGCAAATCAACAAAAAATATTTATAATGGAAACATAACGGAATTTGATAACGGCGGAATAACAGCAAGGTCACCGTATGGTTACTTATTATACCTGACGGTTACAATGTGTAACTTTCAAAAAGATGGGGCACAACGTAGAAAACGCAAAAATAGAGGGTTATATTGTAGAATTGCCCCCTCTTTTTTTTGGGACAAAGAGCAAACAAGATAGTCACGGGGTTATCTAAACCCATTTTTTCTTCCTAGCTTTTTGGGCTAGGGATCAGACACGACCCCCCTTGGTACTTTGTTACAGCAAAAATAAACTAGTGAAAAACAAAGGATATGGACATCCTAAGCCAGTCGCCGCACCTCCCAAGGTGTAGCGTAAGGGTTCTGGATGGCCATAGACACTTCCACACTGTCCGTGCAAACTTCTAGAGACTTGCTGATCTCTCGTGCTTGTAAGACACCTTCCCTGATGGTCGTAATCTTAGCTTGAAGTGGTGTTTGGACAAGGGTACTCTTTCCTCCGTGTGCCACCTCCCCTTGAGGCCCCTTAGCTTGATAACCCATCCTATTACCGTATCCACCGTCCCTTCTTGTCTCTCTTCCACGCATCGTCAGTAAAGATAATGACCAAGGCCCCCTCCTCGCTCGCACAAACCTCTGCTCCAGAAGTGCTGCTTTTCCCGATGTCTGTCCCCTGGCTTACACTGTTGTTTGTCCTTGTATTTTAGCCTTAATATTGACTCCTCCAATAGGGAAATGATCCGAGTAGGATTAGGATTAGCCCTACCAAAAGTTCCCTTGTTTCCATGTATCTAGATCATGCACAAAGATGCAATGAAGTATTTTGCTTGGTCTATGCTGGATTTAAACAGGTATTGTAAGACATTTTGTGTCCAAACGTTCAAAGGTGGAGAAAGCTCCCCTGTTTGGAATCCCAATAGGCCACACGCCCAAACTCATTGAATGACCAGGCAATCATTGAAAAGTTGTTCAGTTGATTCCTTATTCGTGTTGCGCACATCACAAATATTTTCAACCTTAATATTTCTCCTCTATAAGTTGGTTTTTGAGCTAACACAGTTTAGCATGATTTTCCATATTAGAAGCTTCCATCTTTCTGGAAAATCACACTTCCACAGCTTCTACCAAACTCCATTCTCCCAAATCTCATGCTGCATGCTTTGTTTCATTAGCCACTTGTAGCTTGAGCTTGTTGAGTAGTTTCTTAATTTCCCTTCCCACCATACATATTCGTCATCACCTAGTTCCTGGTAGATAGGTATGCTTAGGATGTCTCTATGATGTTTGTTTATCTTCCGCTCGAAATGCACTTACCTAGTCCTGTTGTCATCCTCATTGCTACTTTTGTCATACTTTTAAATGCCCATGACGCTTTCTATGGCACCTTATGCTGCTTGGCCTAGATAATAGGAGACTGCTGGTATTTTCCCTTCGTCAACACCTTGCTTACCTAGGAATCATTATCCTTATGGATCCTCCATGCCTTTTTGTACAGAAGTGAAGTATTAGACAAGGGGATGTTTCTTAAAGATAATCTTCTATGCTCTTTCTGTAGCTCCAGGACTTCTTTTCTCCTTCAATAAATCAGTCGCTTCTCCATTGAGATTGCCTAAAAGAATCTTAAGCAGGTGGAAGTTAATTTATCTATGACATTCTTCGGGAGAAGATACAAAGAAATAATGCGGGATAAGATAGCTATGAGTATTGAATCTGTGAAAACAAGTTTACCAGCTTGCGAAAGGGCTAGGAATTTCCACGAGAGAGTTTTTTGGTAAACTTTATCCACAAGGTAGTTAAGGCTTGAGGCATTTCTTCCATCAATTTCCATGGGGCACTCTAAGTAGTTACCCAACTTTTGTTCTTGTTTCACATGCAAGGGCTATCGAAGAATTCTCTAAAATCTTCTAGGTGTGTTTAGGCTAAAGATAACATAGGATTTTTCTAGTACTCACCAGACCATTTCCCCACTGATAGTGCATAAGCCATCAAGGCAGGCCTTTATCTCAACATAGGAGAAAAGGGTCGGTTTAAAGAAGAACAAGGCATCATCAGCAAAAAAAAAGGTGAGTGATTTCTTGGTCACTTCTATGTACTTTGATACCAGTAATTGCCCCATCATTTTGTAAGAAACTCACTCTTCTTGATAACACTTCCATGCACAAGATAAAAAGATATGGGGAGATAAGGTCCCCCTGTCTTAGTCCGACTCTAGGATTTAACCATTATGAAGGACCCCATTGATCAACAAAGAGTACAAGATAGCGGAAATACACTCCATGATCATGTAATCCAACACTTAGAGAATTTCATCTATCGCAAAATCCTTTCCACAAAACCCTACCTTATTGTATCATAAGCTTTGTTCATATATGTCTATCTTTTAGTGCCGCAACATAGGATGGGCCCTTCTTTTTGCTTTTGATCGTATCCATGAGCTCAGGTGCTATTAAGCAGTTGTCCACTGGAAGCCTTCTTGGAATGAAGGCATTTTAGTATATGCTCACTAAATCTCCGAGAATCAGCTTTAGCCTGTTCACAAGACAATTTGAGATGATCTTCTAGTAGGTGTTGCATAAGCCTACTAGCCTGAATTGAGAGACCTCGTTTGCATTTTCCACCTTAGGTAACAGGCACCAAAAGTTAGTTATGTTCAGTTCCCTAAGAAAGTGGTCCAGTGACAAGTTCTAGTCGTATCACCTAATCAAAAGAATTACCTAAGTCCTCTAACTAAAGCAGATAGGGATGTAGGGTCGAATCCAATGGGAAATAATGTCTTTCTATTCCTAAATAATTAAAATAATCTAAATTATTAAGTAACCAAGTTGTTTTTATGAGAATTAAAATAAGGAGAATAAAATAAACTAAAGCAATAAATTTAAGGGAAAATCAATAAATCAAAGCCTAGGGTGTAGGTTCACCAATAAATAATATTCCAAGGTAAAACACAATAATCAATCATCAATGCATTAATCAATTAGATCATAAAGGGCTTTCGCTACGTATTACACTTACAGAATTAATTTAGCGGCATTAAATCGCATCTCTCGAATCTTGACTTAACCATTTATAAATTAACCTGCCTATTGAAACTAAGCCTAAATATCAATTCTCATATGTCGAATCCCGAATCAATATTGCATAACTCATACAATTGAATCAGGTCTAATCTAATTGCATAGTAGAAAATCAATCAATAGGAAATCAATCAAAGCATTGACAATCAACAATAATAAATTACCCCTTCATATTATTTATGAATCCCCACGAACCCTTGAAATAAACTACTCACACATATTGAAATCTAAACTAAGAAAAGCAATAAAACTAGACATGATTAAACAAGCAATTAAATTATTGAAAATAAAAGGAAAAGAAATTGTTACCAAAATAAACGAAAATATTGAATTGATTAAACCAAAAGAATTGAGAGAACAAGAGTATTAATCAAAAGCTTAAAGCTTAAAATTAAAATCTGGAAATTAACTAATGAATGACGTAATTGTCTCGCTTAACAAAAGCGTATTATACTAAGCCAAGAAATCTTAAATTAAAACAAAGTAAAATTATCGCTAATCGCTCCTCAATAACACGCGCCCGGTCAGGTGCCAACTAGCCTGGCCGGGCCCGCCTTCGGCTTGGGAACTCCTCTCCTCGCGCCCGATCAGGTGCACATGTAGGTGGAGGGCACTTCTTTCTTTCTACCTCGCCCGGCCGGGCGCGCCCTAGGGCGAGGGCACTCCCCGATTGGACGAGCATCGAGGCTCCTTGGACTTCTTCGATTGAGCTTTTAATTGGCCTAATCCGGATTTCCTCTTTGGGTCTTTAACACTTAAGCCATTGCCTTGGTCTCTTCTTCTTCGCCGAGCCCTTACTCACCGGTTTGATTAGTCCAATGTGGTCTTGGGCTACGGAATGTGGTCATATGTTCGCGATCCTGATAAGTGTCATTTATGACACATTTTAGGGTGGTTTTATCCCTTAGTTTTAGGTTTATTTTGGTCATTCTTGGTTATTTTTAATCCTTGTATTCTTGTTTTGGTTAATAAAGTCTTATTTTATGTTTTGGTTAATAAAGCCATCAACCTTAACTCATCTAGTTAATTAAGTTGAAGAAGCCTTTTCTCTCCCGCTAACTTAACATCCAAATTGAGTTCTTTAATTGCCCAATAAACCTTATACTTTAATTC